TGGTTTGGGGAGCCCGGGCGTGCTGCTGCGCTGAGGAAATGTGTGGCGCTGCCTTTTTCGTCCCTTTTTTGTATTGTGTTCTTCTTTTCTTATTCTGCAGAGAAGGCATTTGCCGCTGCTACTAATGCAGTTGTCCCCAACAAACGAAGGCGGTGCGGGCAATTTCTTCAGGCGGTGCGCCGGCCACGCTACCTCGCCCCGTGTTTTCCACTGGCGCTGCTCCTGCTGCTGTTGGCGGTGCAGTGTGCCGGTGGGTGTCTTGCCGTCGCAGCTCCCGCCCGAGAGGGACGCGGCAGGTTCGACGAGCTGTTGTGGAAGAGCGGCCGGTCGCCTACTGCGGTGGTGCGTGAGCTGCCGCGCAAGGGGCAGGGCGCGATGCAGGCGTACACCGTCGCCGCAAAGGAGGAGGGCAACAGCGGATGGGCGCCCATCCGCATTTTTGTCTCCACTGAAGATCTGAGGGACCCAAATAAGTACTGCAATGAAATTGGTGTGTCCCGTACGGACCTCACGCGCGGGTTGTTACCTTGCCAGGAGCAGCACGTGTTGAAGGCGGAGAGGAAGAAGAAGAACGAAAACTTTCCCCTTTTTTGAGCTGTCAAGCTGCATACTGGCCGGCTCCTTGTCAAACCCTTGGTTGGTGCGTTGGCTGTGCTACGTGGCCTTCCTTTCCCGTGTTATGTATTTAAAAATCCGCCTGACTACATGTCGACGGGTGTACATAACGGCGACATTGTGCGCTACGTGGCTGCTGGCGCAGGCTTAGCAACGTGGGCTATCCTGTGTGCAGTATATGCGCATGGTCGTCCTGTGGCGGGTATTTTGCATATATAATATATATATATGGGCGTTGACAATTATAGTTTATGCTGCTTGCGTCACTACTTGCGAACTCGGCCATGCTCTTGGGTTTAACGTGGTGGAGATGACGAGGCAAGACTTGTTTCTGGGCGTTCCTAATTTGCGGTCCAGCACTGACTTTACGATTGTCCTGAATTTTACCTGCAGCGTTAAAGGCAACGAAGAGGCACTTCGGGTGTGACGTTCGTCAGGGCATCGAGCTGAAGATGCAGGAGAGTGGAACTCCGACGTCACATGGGTCGGAGTTAAACACGGAGAACGAGTTGATGAGTCTCCTTGGGGAAGCAGCCGATGTCGTGGGGCAACAACTTTGGTTGTAGCTTCCTGGAGATTCAGTGTGCAGGCATTATTAATGCTGCATATTTCAGGATGTTTTGTGATGCTGCTGACAAATTGATGCACTGTGCATCGGATCGTCAGGCGCTCGGGAAATGCATTCGTAATGTTGGGAACGGCGCAGCGAAACCATCAGAGTGGTGTGCAGTTCCCCTTCCTTTGATAGGCTATGACGGCAACTATGACGGTTGTTGCACATGTACACTGAAGGGATCGGATGCCTTCCATGGACCATTGTCTGGCAAAATAACTCGTGGTGCCTGGATCTGGAATCACTCGAGGCTTGTGCCAAGAAGGGTGGATCATGGTAAACCGGTGTCAACGCGGTGTGTGCGCCGGTGTTGTGTGGCTTCAATGAAGTACTGGTGAAATTTCTTGGCCCCAGTGATTTTGAGGCGTGCCCCGAGTGCGGATTCATTGAGCCCAAATCACCCTCCTTCAGAAGCGGCAAGATCAAGTGCCTCACTTACCTTGAGGTGAGCGCCATCGCCGCCAACAGCGGAACGGTTGAAGTACTGCCTCCTCCAGGCAGTGACAGGGATAACTCTGGCGGCAGCAGCGATGGGGACGAAGTCGAAGATGACGATGACGACTCTTGCGAGGAATATTATGCTTGGCCTGATGATGCTGCGGCCTTCGTTCACGTTGCCCTGTTTGTGCTATTTGTTGCTAAGGTCTTGCTACTGCCGTAACTAGTAAGGGCAGGATAAACTTCTCTCGCTGTCACGCCGCGAGAGCCATTAAACGCTGCCTCCTGAAGTTTGCATGCGGTGCCATCTGTGCTAAGTAATTGCTACCGTCGAAATGCATTCTTTGATTTATTTCCCTCCCTTTTTTTTCTTTTTGGTTTTATGTATGTTTTCAGGGTCACTATCCGCTCTGGCCCTTTGGATGCACTTTTCTTTTTAGTGGGGGGTTGTTGGGAGCTGAATTCATTGAGGGCGGAGGAGTCGCAGGCGTGGGGCGTGTTCCCGCTCTGCGTTCTTCGCCGCACTCCCGCGCTTATTTCAACTTTTCTGCGTTTCTGCCATTGGTACTTTGAGGATCTGTGTAGAATGCGTGGAGGGGCGCGGCGCATTCTGCCAGACGGATGCCTTGATTTTGCGTTGTGCTGCTTCCGTGTGGTTGTTTTTTTTTGTTTGTTGTTGGTATTGGCTTGATGCGTGTTTCATACTTTCCTTTGATGTTTGTGGTCACCGGCAGAAGCATATCGTTTAAGTTGGCGAGGCAAGGGGTGGTTATTCTCCAGTGGGTAGGAGTGGAGGGAAATTTACGTGCAGCCGTACTACGTGGGCGGCGAAGGTGGTGAATTTTGTTACCGACACAAACGAGCGGGAGGTTGCTGTCACCGAAGTCCACGCCATTGAAACAGGAACCAGGGTGTTTAATGAGTGTCTTTATTATCCCGCACTCAGGCAAGTACCATGGGCACTTTGAGTTTGCCGTGGTAATGAGTGAGAAGCAGCCGTCAAAGCTGAGGGTCTCAGTGTATGAGGGGCAGCAGAAACGACTTGTGTACACGAAGGACCTGTGGCAATCCGGCAAAAAGCTTGCGCTGCCCCCCGGTGAATACCATGTGCGGGCGGAGTTGGTGGTGCCGCGCCTTGATGGGTCAAACCTCATCCTCGATACGGTGGAGACGCACTACTCTGTCCTTCAAAATGACCGGGGGGCATCGGCCGCATCGACGCCGCTATCGGGGAAAATATTACGGGAGGAGTTGACGGCGTCGAGCAGCCACCTGCATCAAATGAGTCCACTGCTGGTGGGGGATGCGACGCCCGCAGCAGCACAGGTGGAGTTTGTGAGTAAGGGCGAATCGGCGACTCGATTTGGTTCATTTCCGCCGTCACAGCGGAGCGCTTCGGAGCTTAACGCGCGCGCCTCGTTCGCGTGCGGCAGCGCCGAGGATGAGCCCACTGGCGCGTGGCGCAGCTTGTGCGCGACCCCCAACGCGGCGCTGCAGTGTCTGCGCGACCCGGTACCGGCGCAGGCGCTCTGGGCCTTTTCTGAGGCGCCATCGAAGCGGGCAACGCCGCGTGTTGCGAGGAGCGCGTTGGGCGCGGCTAGCACGGAAGAGCAGGCGCCATCTCCCTTTTTGGGAGAACAGCATGTCTCGTCCACCCCACACAAATATGTGTCTCCAGCTGAAAACGACGTGCACACCACATCGTGGCTTTGGACACTTTCCCCAACACCCGTCAATGGGAAGAGGGCGGCGAAGGCCTCGCCGGGGTCGGCGGGTGCAACCACTGCTGACAAGAAAATGTCCAGGACGAGGAATGCCGAAGAAGCTCCACTTGCTGCGATGCCGCCTTCGCAGCAGCACTCCGGCGGCCCCGCTGAGCCTGCCCTGAAGTTAACACTGACTCCTTTCCCTTATGGAACCACCACGCAGTACGACCCCAGCGGGGAAGTGGGGGTTCGTCCTCTTAATGCGAACATGATTTGGGGGCGACCGAGAGTGGCCGCCCAACCGGTGCCTTTGTCCCACGACTTGACACCAGACAACATTTTGAAGACCGAAATCCCTCTCCCCGATCGAGAATGGACGCCGCCTGGTGTGCATGCTGGACCTGTTAGTGATAGGGAAGAGAAGAGGATGAGTAACTCATCGAAGAAGCCGAGTGCCAAGGACCGACAGCAAACAGCCCAATCTGTGATGCCGACGCCCCTGACTGAGCTCACAGGGCGAGGGGTGAACTCTCTCACCGTCCTGACGACAAAGGATAACAATGAGAACTCGCCAAACCGGAGAAGTAGCCAAGTCCAAAGCCCGCAACTGTCCACTGGGAAATACAGTTCTACGTTTGTTGTACCACCTCCTGACGTCATTGATGTGCATGCGTCATTTTCTCTAGCACTTGCTTTTGGTGCTCCAAATGCGGAGCCAATGACAAACGATGTTTTTCTTAATGTGCTGGTAGAAGAGGAGGTGGAAGCTGGAGTAAAACCGCAAGAGCCTGTAGTTTGCGTGGTACCTGCCACCTTGGCCGCAGTTCCAACTCGGGCACGAGGGATTAACTGCCACTGGGTGTGTTCGCCGTCCATACGTGCAAGTGAACGAGGTGAAGTGTTGCAGTTACTGGGCGATGACGCAAGGAAGACATGCACTGCCGTAGCCATCTCCACTGTATGCGTGGGTCCTTCCTGTGACGGACAAACGCTCTCTGGTCTCCAGTTTGTGCTCGACAACGTTGAGAGGGGGATCTTGTCGTGTCAGTTTTTCGTCTTCTTCCGAGAAGTTGAGGACGTGAACAATGAAGACGAGGGGGTTGTTCTACAATATGGCAGTCCAAACGACAACGATGACACGGGGCACTCCGCCACTGTACAGGACCGAAACCGGCAAACACCGACGTTGGACGAACGTGCTCTGAGTGCCGAGTTTATATACAACTCGTTGCCCTACATTCGTTGTCTCGTCCATGAGAGTGGTGAAATGGCACTTGAAATTCACCATAAGAATGCCGTAGTGGCCTCTGAACCCGTTCATGCCGGCTCTCGTGTCGCCATGTATTTTGGAACTATCACACCTAACGCTTTTGCTTCTGCCGGTGGTGGTGTCGCTGAGAAAAAACAGCCGAATCTTTCCATTCTTGTGGATTATCGAACAGTGTTCAGTTACTCCATTTATTCTGAACGGGGCCTTGACGCCCTTCGCATCATTGTGATGAGCCGCGTGGAGTCATCAGTGGTAGGGTCTGGCACAGGGGCATGCATGAGGCTACGGGAGGTGGAGCTCTTGTCGCAGCAACGCAGGCTTGTGGCCTTTGCCGACGAGGTGCGGCTGGACGACGCCAAAGCGAGTCGACTACGCAACAGCGGCGAACGAAGACAGCACGAAGGAGGAGGGCCAGATCAAACTCGTGCTGGAAAGCTCGGCTTAATTTCAACGTGGGTTGCTGGGGAAAACCCTGGTGTACGTGCATGGCGACGTGTGACACTTATTTGATGTGCCACGGATACATCTACATACATGTATGGGTATATGTGTGTATTGTTTTTAGTATTTATTTGTTTTGCTTTTGTTTCGGGGGGAATGGGGTTTGGGCTCCTGTCCATTATTTCTGCTGCCCCTCTGCCTGCCCCTCTGCCTGCGTGTGTGTGTGTAGGGAAGAGGGAAGAGGGGCACGGACCTCACGGCCGGTTTTATGGCAGGGGGACGCCCAGTGGAAAAGTCACAAGGAAAATGAAAATGATATATGTAGTCAGTCGTATTTTTATCGATAAAAGGCAGTGTGCCGATGCCGACAGTGAGCGGGAGTATCGTAGGGAACGTATGGGGGTGCTTACGCCCACCATGACACGCGGGGCGTGGGAAGGCGACGGACGAGTACGGAAGGCCGTGCATGGCCTGACGGCAGTGCCTCCTTTACTTTTTTGGCGTGTGGGGCTGCTGTTATTTTTTCCCCCTTTTGTGACTCTTTTGCGACGTTGTTGATGGTGTCTTTGTCGATGACGGTGTTAATTTGTTTTCTTCTAATTTAATTCTATCCGTGTGTATTTT